ATATACATAGTGCTTTTTTTGACTTCGCTAAAATTTAGTGGTAGTGCAAATTTTATTTGAAAAATCACTAAATTTAGTGGTAGTGCTAATAAAATTTCACTACCACTAAAATTTAGTGGTAGTGCAATTTTTTTTTTAAATATCACTAAAGGGTTAGTGGTAGTGCAATTTATTTTTCACTACCACTAACCCTTTAGTGGTAGTGGAATTAAAACTTGCACTACCACTAATTATTTAATTCTTAGTGCACTAAAAATTTAGTGCAATATGCCCAACCCTGGCAAAAATCACCAAAATACCGAATATCGGTTATATGGGGACTATACCAAAACGTGGACCGATATATTTCATTTTTAATACCAACCATCCTAGGCACAATACAAATTATTCTGCTAAATTTTGACGCTCTACGTCAATTAATGTGGGCTGTATCGTGATTTCAACAGACAGACTGACAGACGAAGAGACAGACGGACATCGTTAAATCGTCTTAGAATTTTATGCTGATTATTTTATCTATTTATATAAAAATCAATTGTTGTTTGTTGGTAATGGAATCAGTTGAGAACGGCTGGACCGATTTGCATGATTTTTGGTATAAACATTCGTCATACCCCGAGTTAGGTTTTTAAAGAAAAAAATATTGACCTCGCATACTTTTACGCTCATTATTTCGATTTATCAAAAATCCTTATATTTGCCAAAATAATGAAGATATCGAGTTGAAAATTATTACACGAGATACTGTTGACTTCCCATCCAACCGTGAGTATTTATTTGGCGGCTGAGGAACTAACCACGTCTACTTTTTGATCTAAATCTATATATATAAAAAAGTTGTGTTAGTTACTACGCTTATAACTTAAGAACCGCTGGACTGATTCTTACGATTCATACAAATTCGGAATTGTCTCCTGTCCGAAAAGGATAATATCCAAAAAAATCGTAAAAATGCGATATATTAACATTTTCATTTTGACTTTTGAAATGTACAATAGTAATGTTTTATTTTGCATGATTTTTTTTTCCATTTTGACTCACTTTTTATGCCCTACACCACAAGGTGGTCAGGGTATTATGTCTTTGTGCATTTGTTTGTAACAAGCAGAAGGAAACGAGATAGACGCATAGTTCCTTTTGATGATCTGCATAGAATCACATTCAGAGTCGATTTATGCATGTCCGTCCGTCCGTCTGTCCGTCCGTCTGTCCATGTATTTTTGTAAACCAAGTACAAGTCGCATTTATTGCCCGATCCATATGAAATTTTGCACAGATCATTTGTTTGGCCCAAGGACGAACCCTATTGAAATTGGAAATAATCGGTCAAAATTTAGATATAGCTCCCATATATATCTTCGTCCGATTTGCCTTTTATTGTGCACCAAACGTGTAATATCATCCCGAATTGTATGGAATTTTGCACATACAACCAAATTAGGCCTGAAAATAAGTATGCCAAATTTGATCGAAATCGGTTCAGATATAGCTATAGCTCCTATATATATTGTTCATCCGAATTGTTATTTTTATCCACCGCCGCCGTAATATGCACTCTGCAACAACAATATTTGGGGAAATATATCAAATGCAGCTCAGAAATACATTTGCTAAATTTTATCGAGATCGGTTCAGATTTGTATATAGCTCCCATACATAACTTCGGCCGATTTACCTTTAATGTGCACCAAACGTCTAATATTTGTCCAAATGCGATGCAATTTTGCACTTACGACCGAATTGGGTCTAGAAGCTAGTATGTCAAATTTGGTGAAGATCTGTTCAGATGTAGCTATAGCTCCCATATATACTGTTCATCCGATTTGTCATATTTGTTACCCACAGCCGTAGTATGCACTCCGTAACAACGATATTCAGGGAAATATATCAAATTCAGCTCAGAAATATCTTTGCCAAATTTTGTCGAGATCGCTTCAGATTTGGATATAGCTCCCATATATATCTTTATCCGACTTCAAATTAATTGTGCACCAAATGGGCAATACAATTCCGAATTTAAAAGATACAAATGCTTCGGCATATTTAGCACATAGCACATATAAACTTTTAATTGTTATGTGGAGCTCTACTTAATTAGCAAAGTGGTGTAGGGTATCATAAAGTCGGCCCCGCCCGACTTTAAGACTTTCTTTACTGGTTTTTTTTTTTTTCAATTTGTATTATCATATTGAATTCAGTGATTTTTTTATGAACAAAATAAAGAATAATTTTTCATTATCTACAATTTTTCACAAAAAAAAATAAGTGCGAAATAGGATTTTAACTGACATCTACCTTTCAATTCCAGGGCCTACATCGTGGTTCAGCTGGAAGATGCGAACATTTAATCAAACAAAAATGACCGAAGAAGCCTAATGGGGCTCATTTCAAAGCGTGGACCTACTTCTTTCATGTGACAATAATCCGTCCAATGAGAGCTCAAAATTCTTTGGGAGTACAATCAGTAAAATACCAAATTTAAAGGGTGCAAAATAGTAGAGCGAATGGAAATTTTAGTAAGAAAAGGATATCTATCCTTCCAGAAATTCTTCCCAAACATACAAGATACCTTAAATTGATTTTGCAGGTCATGATATCGATCATAACTCACGGATAAGGGTACAACCCGATTTCATATTTCTTGGCAATTTTTTTTTTCATATTTTCGCCATATTTGGCATCTTTCTTTCTAAGGGGGTAGAGAACCTCTTCGCATAAAATTTGATGCTACCCTGGGGTGGGGAACCATCATACAGATAATTGCCACATAGGAATTTATTTAAGTTAAGTCCCACATTGGATTATCCCCAAGTCCACTTTCACATCTAATGTGTGATCAGAAAAGAAAATTGTGTATTCTATTGAATTTGTAACCCCCAAGAGAATATTGGTTGGGAACGTAAATTTGGGATGTACATCTATATGAAATAAATTGTGGAAACATGAACAAATAGCACGGGACCGAATATTTGTTGAATCATCATGGAATTATACTATGACGAAAATATGGACTTTAAGAGGTCTCCAACTTACAATTTAAATGGCAAATAAAATTAATTCCCATCTTATCATTCTGCCCTCAATTATGAGATGGATAAAACTATTTTTAATTATTTAAATCACGAAATGCTATGACATGCTATATTGTTCTGCTATATTTTTGATTTGGCCTCTATTTGTCATCTTGGATTATAAGTCATATCTGTGAATAATTATGCTTGGACAAATATGCATGATAGACAAAAACTACGGGCCGGCAACACGGACCGGGCCAGCTAGTCTCATATAAAGTGAAGGAAGTAAACAATATAGTTCAAGATTTATATCATATTAATTTAAGTCCGATACGAAATGAACAATATTGGCCCAATCCTTCGGAACCTTCTTCAGAGAGGGTTAATAATTTGAACAGTGGCTGAGGGTAAACATCTGTCAGCAAAGCCGACTGATAATTTTTAACTTGTTCATTTTTAAGTCCATTCTATACTCTAAATATTTTGCGAACTTCTTCCAACACAAAAGACTTCTATTTTGATCCTGAATAAGATACCCCCAATACATAGCGCTCGTAAGGTGAAAAAATTTTTACAATACTGTAAGTCAAGTGGAAAAAACTCATGCGGTAAAAAAAATATGACAAAAAATAAAAAAATATAACAAAATATTACAGAAAAAATTCACAGATTTTATTCCTTCCAGCAAAATGACCATTTCAAATTGATGAGGCTTGTGAAAAATTCGTCCAGCCGTTCTTGAGTTACATGCGGTATAACTAACACTCCCCTCTTTGACATATGATATTGCATATATTCTGATATATATATGCGGTATCTTCGATACGGTCTGAAGTGAACATAGGCTTCCACCAAGCCCTAAACTTTAGCTCCATGCAAAATTTGTATGCAGGTCCACGTCTTCCCCCATATAACAATACCTCCCGATATTCGGTATTTTGATGATTTTAGCGACATTATTATTTGAAATGTTGTTTTCGAAAATTGAAATTGGTACTATAGCCTATACAAAAAAAATCGTACGCATGTCCTCCTCATATGCGAACTTAGCTACCTTTTTACTTGTTTTAATTTTGTAATGTCTACGAATTTGAATTGGTATCCAAATTTTAGGCAAATGGCTTCTGATGCCCCTAAAACGGAACGTTTCTAAAGAAATTTAAAAAATCTGCAGTAGTAGTTAGGAACAAAAGCCTCTAAAAATTGTCAGAGAAAACATTGAAATATAGAAGGCGTTAGATATATATTGGAAATAGGAATCATTTTGAAAAAAATGAATGCTACATCACCTTTAATTATGCTCTTGCCTATAACGAAATTTTAATATTGAAGAAAAAGTGTAATACTGAAATATAGGTGTTCTTCTAAAACTTCTGTTCTATTTTCAATGCTCAAACTTATATACTTGAACAAACAAAAATTAACTTAAAAGACAAGCAAAAAAGCGTTAAATTCGGCATTTTTTTGCATCTAAAATTATCCTAAATAGAAGGGCCATGTTTCCACCTTAATATCCCTCCATTTTACTCATTACTCCATCCCAAACTTTTTATGACTTTTAACCAAACACAAAGGGTTCCGATATTTTGAGCAATATTTCGCAAGATTTTTTTTTTTGAGCTCAGATATTTGTATAGAGCTTTGGATTATTTCAAGAATCACAGGTTAAAAAATGGGTCATGTCAGTCTCTTCAAGTTTTTATTATTAAAATTAATAAAAAAAAAACACTTTCTTATCTAAGCGCGTATAAATAATTAAATGTTTTTGCAAGGACGTTAAGCACATATTGTGAAGTTGAAAATAGGTCGTTTGAGTTGTTTCTAGTTTTCACACCTTTGTCATCATCACAATCTGGAAAACACCCCAAAACAAAGACATGAATCATGCATGACATAAATGTTCTCCATTTTTTGGCTCTTCTTCTTTTGCTTTGCTTTCAAAATCATTAACACTTTCAATTGACACAGACACTTAACACCACCTACCATTGTTATGGCCACGGCCAATATAAACGACAACAGAAACATGGCCAACATCACACAAAACACTCCCAGGCAAACATAGGCGGCTGCATTTCGAGAACGAAACGAGAAACGTTAAGAAGAAGATCAGCTGGATTCCGCATAGAAAGGATTTTTATTTTTTGTTTCTGAGTTTTTGAAAATCAAAAACCAGCTCATGATTCAATCGCTCACTCACTCACACGCTCAGACTGAACTTACAACTGTCGAAGGGGCAGGTGTCAACGTTGAAAGCAAAGTGACCCGAACAGATTAGCAGAATGGTGAAGGTGATAATTTGCATATAACCGATAATGTTGCCAATAATATGGAGGATACTCGAGCGTCGCGATGCGGAAGACGAAGAAGACGACGATTTTGCCATTGCCGCGCCAAATTAACGAACAAAAACAAATAAATAAATAAAGCTGAAAGGAACACAGCGCTGTGTCTTATAACGCGCCGAAAACCGAATTGATACTAAAGAAAAATTGGCGAAAATTGTATAAAATGGAAATCCACAAAAATATATGCTCCAAAAGAATTTTGATAGTAAGACACAAACAGCAACAACAACAGCGCAGTAAGACAATAACAACAACAAAAATGGCAACATTATAAAAATGGGAATTTTGTGTGCGAGACATAGTGTCAGCAGCTATGTGGTGCGCCAAAAAGGCGCCCTTTTGGCGGACGCACATCAAATAGTTTTTGTCTGTGTTTCCAAAATGGAAGGGGACGGGGACGGGTGGGAGGAGACGGCGCGGAAGGTGCTTTATGGTATTCCTCTGTCATCAACATATTCCATGCCAAACAACCATCCAACCAAGCAGTCAGCCAGCCCGCCAGCTAGCATTTGTAGCTTCCTACCAGCGTTCAACACAAATCACAGCAAAATAAAACCCGCCGCCACCCGCCAACCTTACGCTTATGGCAATCATTCCAATATGGAAAACTATTTGAGGCAATTATGGAAAGTGTTGGCCATAATTTGTAGACCGATACACCACACGAATTCCTATTTTCAAGTTCATACAAACTGTTGATTTACAAATGGCCGAATTTTACCGCTAATTATTTTTTTCTTTGACTTTTGAAAATTTTGTTTATTTTATCATTGTTTTCGATATCGAACAGTGCCAAAGTAAGGTGAATCGAATTGGTTTTATGTGCTTGTTAGCACCTCCCCCAAATTGGGTAATCTCACTCCATGTAACATAGGAAAAAAATGTTGTAAACAAAAACATTCGCTTGTTTACCTGGAATCGACAAGTGCCTTATCACCATCCACACCACTTACATCTGTGTAGTAGTGGTACCCAATAAGTTATTCTGGGCAAAGATTTTCTAAAGCATCGGAAAGTTTATGGTGCAAGGTCAATGAACACCCAATGCCTTACATGAGATTGAGATTCAACATTATGGTGCCGAATTTATGCAGGCAGAGAGAGAAAGGGGGATATTAAAATCAAAAGAATCCAGCAAAAAATGGATTTAAAACACAAATTTTGCAACTAATTTCTTCTTACAAAACTTACTCCTAACACCTTATTTTAAAACAAGCAATAAAAACTATGTTCTGCCGGGCCGAACTATAAATACCATTGGGTAAAAAAAAACATTTTTATATAAAAGTATCTGAATTGAAACATGTTCCACTTCAATCTAAAAATACCACTAAGACCGTAATGGTGTTAAACTTTTCAAGAAACCATAAAGTGGATGAGTCCCTTATATGGGGGCCATACCACAACGGAAACCTCTATACAGGGTGAGGTCAAAATGTTTGCGTGTCCAAGGCTTTAATACGGCATTTATTCTGATGCCAGAATAATCGCAGGCGATAAAAAATATAAAAAAAAGAAAATATCACAAAATACAACAAAATCTATATTAACATAATTATTGGCATCTTTCATGCGAATTTTTTAAATTTTATACTTTTATATCAAGAGAGCAAGAGAGCACAGATAAAATTTGACAAAATCGGTCCAGCCATTCTTGAGATATAAGCATTGTAGCTAACATCCCCTTCCTTTGTATATATTTCGCTATATATATCCGATATATTTACTATCGGCATCTACGTAACGGTCAGAATTGACCTTTTCGTCTATTTTTGATTTCGCAGGGGTTAAAAATATTCGCGGTCTGATGAAAAATTTGACTTTTATTTAACACCAATGTTATTGTCTATTTCACAGACTTCATATTACCCGATGACCATCCAAATTGCGACCTTACAAAATTTTTGGTCCAATTCATCTCCAAAGGCAATAGGCTGCAATTCTGATCAGAACACCACCTCCATTTTCAATTTTGTGAGAATCGGCCAGTAATTGCGACCCCTATATAATATAGACACCTATATGCTTTTTTACTCCGCCTATAGTCGTCGCTTATTTGATTTAGCTTGAAGTACAAATTCACCCAAATAGTTTTTGTACAACATTCGGTTATCATAAAAATTTTGAGATTTAGTTCCACTTCATTCAGTACATATAGTCCCATTTTTGGTAGGTTAGGTTGAAAAGAGGAGCGAAGCAATTCGCCGCATGCCCTGTTGGGCATATACTTAAGCCAGTATAGGCCTGTTGTGAGCCCTAGACTAAGGGTTTTTTGAAGAAGACGGGCAGTTTACAGTCTGTTATATTTGAAATTCAGTTGCCTTTATGAAATTTCTTAACTGTCTTATATCAGAGAAAATGTTCCAATGTCATCTTCCCCACAGCCCCTGCATATGCTGTTATCTGTACATCCTATCTTGTACAGATGAGCTTGTAGGCCCAGGTGCCTGTTACCTCACTGATCTATTTTTTATCTAGTAATAAAAGGTTCTTCGTTTTTATCTCATCGGGATCGCTCTATAAGATTTTTGTGGTTTTCCCTACACCCTCATTGTTCCATAGGGATTTGTGGGCGTTTTTTACCCATGTCTTTAATACTATACGTGACGCATTTAGCGGCACTGGACTGTCAACGTTTATTGTCGCCCTTATAGCTGTCTTGCAGTCCGTTAGGACGTTTACGGTAGTCGGTCTCGTGTTGGCATTAAGCCAGTTCAGACACTCTGCAATCGCCCGGACCTCCACTTGCAGGATCGTATTGTGATCCGTCAAACGGAAAGAGATTTTATGTGTTCGTATCCTCGATAAAAAGTAGCAGTCCCGCTCCCTCCCCAAGCACTAGGCCGTCTGTATAACAACAGTTTCCAGTCGGCATTTGTAGTAGAAATCCGTCGATCCACGAGTCTCTGGTAGGGATTAATGTTTCACATGAAGCAGCTACAAAGGTTTGAGATATCCGGTCCGATGCAAAATTTTATAGATTCTGACGTTGTTACCTGTAAAATTGTTTGATAGTATATAGCGTGGCCTTTGTTTATCTACTCGTCCGTCGCCCTGAGCCTTAAGGCCGCGACGGCCGCTTCATACCGTATCTGAATTTCTATTGGGTGAACAAATAGAATTGTCTCTAATGCCCTAGTTGGTGTTGTCCTCATTGCGCCGCAGATGCTTAAGCAGCACATTCGTTGGACTTTCTGTAGTATTTTGATGTTACATTTGTTATCCATAGCTGTCCACCAGACTACCGATGCGTATGTTAGAACAGGTCTAATTACTCTTTTGAATAGCCAGTATGTCATCTTTGCATTGAAACCCCATTTATAGCCTATAGCTTTGTTCGCTCTTTCTTGGATGTGGTCCCTCCAATTAAGTTTTCTATCTAAAATCACACCCAGATATTTGACCTTATTGGAAGACCGGTTCAACGATATGGCCCAGTTTTCTTTTTCTAGTGAATAGACATATCTCAGCTTTTTCCGGGTTAACGTTAAGACCTCTCGGTCTGGCCCAGTTGTATGAAAGTTTCAGAGCCGACTCGCCCCTTCTGCACAGCATGCTAGGGTTCTTTCCCCTCAGAAGTATTATAACGTCGTCTGCATAACAGACTGGTTCAAAGCCTTCATTGGTTAAAATCTTTAGAAGACTGTTAATGGTGATAACCCACAGGTGGGGTGATAATATCCCTCCCTGACCTTGACCAAATTTGTCCCTTATGTTAACGTCATATAGCCCACAGCTTATCCATATATTCCTTAGTATATGGTTTATCCAGTCCGTTAGGGCCCGGTCGACCTGAAAATTATCTAAGGATTGAATGAGTGTATCTGTGCTGACGTTGTTGAACGCACCTTCGATGTCAATGCATACTGCTAGTGTATACTTCTTCCATTGCTTCCATCTTGTTACCCATATCATTCACCATTATCTCGGCTCGTGTATGGGTTTTTTAGAGAAACTTTTTTAAACATTGCATGTATAGGTCCACATTTTGGTATAGCCCCCATATAAAGGTACCTCCCGATATTCGGTATTTTGATTATTTTTGCCACATTTTTTCACGGATTTGTCTAAAAATTGGTATTTGTTGGTCATAACGGGTTCTATCTCCTATGGCGAAACATTGCATGTGTAGGTCCACGATTTGGTATAGCCCCCATATAACGGTACCTCCTGATATTCGGCATTTTAATGGTTTTTGCCACATTTCTTTTAATGTTTCCTTTACCCTAAGGTGGAGACTTTTAGCCCGGCCGAACTTAATGTTTTTTACTCGTTTTTTTGACACGATTTGTCAAAATTTGTGCAGATTAAATTAAAGCGTCGTGATTTCCACCAACTTTGTGGAATTTAACTAAGTGTTTAACAATTTAACAACTACTTTAAAAGTTTTCGATTGGTATACTAATTTGTAAACTAAAATAAAATTTTGACGGAAAGTATGCCACTTTGAGTTTCGAGAAAAACATATAATCTATTTTCACTGCTAGATAGTCCTTTTAATTCTGTGAAGACCATATGATGGAAATCCGGACAAGAACACATATCAAAAATTTGGTTTTAATATACACACATCTCGAAATTCTAATGTTTCTCTATCTTCGTATCTGCATACGTCAGTAAAGCCAATAAGGCTACGCTATTATTTTAAAATAATTAAACAACTAAGTCTATTCAAAATATTGTTGCTTTTCTCTATTCCCCTTTCTATTAAATGACGGATATAGCATCGACTACTTTTAAAGCGATTTGTTAAAAAGTCTTAATTTATGCGCGACACATCGCAGCAACATCTATATTAGGAATCTGCCGGTAGATCACAATAAATTACCGACGTCACCAAATTCCATTCTAAGTATTTAATTTGAAATTAAACTCATATTCAAATAGCCTACCAAGCAGATATGCAATAGGCTTTTTTATTTTGTACAGATAAGTTCTGACGGAAGACACAAAATTATATTTTCTCGGCCCTCTCTCAAACGTGGACCACCCACAATTAATACCATGGGTGATCATGTGTTAATAGAGAAATAAGTGGTGGCCACTGTTAGCTAGCCTTTACATTCTTAAGATGTCATTTATCATAAAGCCACAGAGACACCCACACAATAAAATGTTTATTTTCGCACATATTTGAAATAAACATTCCACCACAGATACAGTCGAATCTGTCTAAGTGAAA